ATGAGGTTGCAAAGATATTCCTGACTGTTTTAAGTAATCTCTTGGTTTATGATTTTAATTCATAAGATTTACTTACAAAGCTGGAGACCATTCCCAGCCTGGTGCGCCGAAGAGTTTTTACTACTTGGAAAACATCTATTACTTCTTCTACTTCTGCACTTTCCAAGAGGGTCATTAAAGCACAAAATGCACCTGTTTGCTCGGATCCATCGCTAGAAGAAGATGCACATTTTTAAAAATGTAAAATCAGCAAGACTCAATGTTAGATTTATTTCAAAGACTGTATAGTGAATAACATTTCCCAAGCATTTTTAACTGTACAGAATTTGTTGCAACCAAAAATATCTGCAGGGCCCAAAAGGGCATAGCTACTTTATCTAAATTCTAACTGCATCTCACATGCCCATTTAAGAAAGAAGAGGGAAATTTAAAACTTCAGTCCTGTGGTCTCAGCAACTGTTTTGGATGGATTATTCTGGTTTAGATGATACGCAAGAGTTTTTACTTTTCAGCACCATAATCAAAGTGTTCAGTTTTGAACTATTCAAGGGGACAGCTGAGTCTCTAGGCGCGTACAAAGGCTTTTGGGAAAAGGTGGGAATTACAAAACACAGCTGTTAAAGAAATGTGGAAGGTAGAGCTAGGAAGGTAGGGGTGTGCCTGCACCTACCGGCAGTGGATGACAATGGGGACACAGCGGTTGCCTTTGTTGTCCTCAGAGCCTGGTCTAGTCGGAAGTTTCTCCTTGAGGTTTAGAATCATGTTGACCAAGTCTTCGGGGTCTTCAGGAACACCCGAGCTGCTCCACTTGTGATACTGATACTGATACACCTTCTGGGTCTCTTTCCTCTGCAAAACAGCCCCGGAGACATAATCAATGTTCACGCTAACAGCGAAGATTCACATAGTACATCTATTGCAGGTTTAAAAAAAAAAAAAAAAAACTTTTACCTTCAGATGTGTAACATCGAATGCACGTATGGTATAGCTAGGGCAGCAGTTAGTATCTGTCATTTGTACTTCTATGCCATCATACGTTTGCTTTCCTTCTCCCCAATACTGTGCACAGAGTTCCTAAAACACACAGAAGTAAAAGTCAGTACTTTTCAAATCTGCTTTTATTTTGCTTTCTGCATGAACTCACAGAATGCATTCATTTGGAAGTAG